GTTGTTTGGCGGGTCCGGGCTGGGGATTCGAACCCGCCACCTTAGGTGTACGTGGCTGACGCCTTAGCCGGTTGAGCTATAGGCGCCGAGCCAGGACTAGCATCCTTATAGGAAGGAGAAGCGAGACCAGGAGTGAGCACACTCAGAGGACAGGCCATGAGAGGACACTGCCTGCCAAGGGGAGAGGCCTCAGGAGGAACCAGCCCCTGGCCCCTCATTCCAGACATCCAGACTCCAGCAGGAGAGAAAATAAATGTCTGTTGTGTAAGCTGCTCAGTCTGCAGTGTACAGTGATGACAGCCACCAAATTAATATGCCAATGAACCCAGGAAAGGACGTTCCTTCTCACTAATAAGTAAGGAAATGCAAGTTAAATAAGATGAGCCAAACATCCAGAAGAATGGCTAAAATTAGAATATCCAACTACGCTACCCTGTGTCGGGAGGTGTGCAGATTAATAGGGACTTCACACACTGCTCAGCGGGTACACACTGGGATAAACATTTGCATAACTGTCTGGTTTATCAAGTAGAACATAATGTAGGTCAAAATAAACCAGATAGAAGCGCGTGTACCACACACTTCCATCCACATAAAAACAGGGACACTGTACTCAGGGAGGAAGCAGGGCAGTAGCTGATGCCAATGGGAACATGGGGGCTCCTGGGTCTGGTAACAGGGGACTCTATCTGCACAATAGTCCTCAGCTTTCTTTCTGCAGAGACAGGGCAACTGAGGCACAACACGCTGCGCAGGCAGACAAGATGCTCACCAGGCGCCTCTGTCCAGGAGTAGGTTCTGGCCTGGGCGTCCATGTGCGATGAGGATATCTTCCAAGGATCTGGAACATCTCCTAGCTGTTCTTCCAATACTTTAAACTTATCCTTTAGATTTTGTATTTCTGCTTCAAAGGCCAGAACATAATCTGCCACAAAACCCAGAGAACATAATATACAGGCTCACACCCATGTCCACTGAGGCAGAGGTGCTCACCACCCCTTCCTCTCTGCACTTGACCCTCCACACTCAATGCCAGCCCAGAAGACCTTCTCTCCCCACCTTTACCAGAGCACACAAGTCCCATGCCAGCTCCACCTTTGTGTTCTCCAAGAAAGGCTCAGCCATGAGGAGTGAACATTGGACCCTGCCCCTGACCCCCCCTCCCCGGGTACTGAGGGGATAGCTCCCAGCTTGAGTGCCAAGTCACCCAGCAGAGTGGAGTCCAGCTGTGCACAGCTACTCCCAGTGCCCCACAACTAGCAAGGTGTAAGGTGGGGCTGCCCTCCCTACTAAAGGGGCACCTCTGGTGGAAGGGCCTGGTGTCCACCAGCCCCTGTTAGCAACTGCTCAGGGGCAGCACAGCACTAACCCAGGCCCTGAGCCAAGGCCAAGCCTTCAGGCATTTTCTTTTTGTGAGAGCCAGGGTCTTACTAGTTGTCCAGGCTAGTCTTGAACTCCTGGGCCCTCTTGAGTAGCTGAGCCCATGGGTGTCATTACCACACCGGGCTGGACTTGGCTCTCTGAAGGTGTCAACTAGGTCGCCTTACTTATTTCCTTCTACTTTGCCAATAGGTAAATTTTTTAATATGGCACTTAAGATCCCCTCTCTTGGAGGAAAAGCAGTTGTTATACTTTGAAGTAATTTATGAGGAGGATGCTAACTTGTGAGACACCCTGAAATGAAGCTACTGTGAACTAGTGGGGACCTGACCTGTTGCCTGCCCTCCGCTTCCTCCCCTACTCACCAGGAGTGGTGGTGTCTCCTCCTGCCTTTGGGTCAGACTGGTTTGTGCCTGAGTTCTCTCTTCCGAGCTGGGCAGAAGGGAGAATCTGCCCACTCAGAGTCTCCATCTCTCTTCTCATCTGTGCAATAGCGTTTCGCAAGCTTGTGTTCTGCTCCTGCAGCCGCTGAATCTCACCAGATGGAAAATCTTTAGTTACTTCTTCTTCATGCTGCCCTAGGAACATCTGTCAAGTGCCAAAAACAAAAGGACAATAGTTATGGCTGTCAAATCCCCTTGCTTGTCGACAGGCTGCACCTCTGGGCTCTGTGGCCACCTCGAGCCTCTAGGGCTCTAAGGACTCTTCTTGACCTGTGGGAGGATGGCTGTGTCACTCCCATCCATGAAGCACACTATATCGTTTAAGTCCCCAGAGTTGTCAGATCCATACAAAGACGAAGGAGGATGGGCTCAGCACCTGTAGCTCAGTGGTTAGGGCACCAGCCACATACACTGGGGCTGACAGGTTTGAACCAGGCCTGGCCTGCTAAACAACAATAATAACTACAACAAAAAAAGTCTATTTTTTTGAGACTTTGGAAAAAACAAAATAAGAAGAAGAAGTTAACTGATCAAAGTATTCTATAATAGACATACTCCTATCTGACAATGTGAATGTTACTTCCTTTGTATTATTACTATTATTATTGCTTAATATTTCATTGCAGCAATTGTTTGATTTCTTTTCTGAATGTATTTATCTTCATTCATTCTTTATGAGGTTTTTGTTCTTAGTGCTTATGTTAAACATTGTTATTGTCATTAAATTTAGCTTTTAAAAAAAAAAAAAGCTGGGTGTTATGGTGGGCACTAGTAGTTCCAGCTACTTGGGAGGCTGAGGCAAGAGAATAGCTTGAGCCCAGGAGTTTGAGGTTGCTGTGAGCTGTGACACTACAGCACTCTATACAGGGCAACAGAGTGAGATTCTGTTTCAGAGTAAAAGAAAGAAAGAAAGAAAAGCACAATGCAGAGCATATCATAACCAAATTGCTGAAAATCAGCAACAGGTGAAAACTCTAAAAGCAACCTGAGAAAACCGCACAGCAGGTTATGCACAAAGAGCAGCCGTGAGGAGTCCCAGGCCCGGAGACCACAAGAAAGGCAAGCAGAGAGCACAGTGATACCCGCAAACATAGGAGCAGAAACACACACCCTGTCAACTCATACTCCTACAGCCAGTAAATGGCTTTCAGGAAGGAAGGTAAGAGAGTCTTCTGCCTCTGACCAGGAAGACTCACTGCTATGAATCTTTCCCTCTGGCTACAAACTAGAAAACCAGACAGATGAAACATCTGTTTTCAGACACTGCTGGCAGGGAACTGAAATACTTGAGAAGGGACATACCATCATGAGCACTGTGCTGTGCCCAATTCTCTGTCTCTGCTGCCCCACAAGTCTAGCCAAAACCTGCAAAAAGCACCACCTTGCTTCCTCTAAGGCCACCCAAACACCAGCACCTGCCCAAGGCAGGACAGAAGGCACTCTCAGGGGCCCAGTGCCCATTCTCTCCCCCACCCCCAGTCCACAGACTACAAACCTGAGCAAGGAGCCTAGACCAACCCCAGGCCCCTCTGACTCCACATGTCACTGGCAAGGCCAGTCAGACTGGGCTCCCAGTGGAGGTGTCAACAGTCACAATGAAGCAGAGAGGAGGACCAGCATGCACATAGGACAAGAGCCTCCTGGGCATGCTCCCCACCCTGCATTATAATCAGACTGTGGACAGTCCAAGTGACTGTCGGGATGAAGACAACTGGGTGATGATGGCGTGGCTGAGACTAAATATTTAACCACATAGATGATGTGTGAACACACTGTGCAAAATAATGCCATTTGCAGGATGGGGACGGCCCTCCTGCTGGGCCCCTCCTCTCCCTCCCAGCCTGTGCCACCCCAGCCTGTCAGACCTCGACCCTGGGCCCCTCTGCCATGGGCACAGCGCTACACTGACAAGCTGAGACAGCTCAGTAAAGTTCTTCTGCACCCTGAGTGCATCTTACTTCTAAGATGAAGTAAGTTCGCAGATACCAGGGACTCAGAGCAGACCCTGGCACAGGCCAAGCACATAACTACTGAGCATAAATGCCACTGCCAAACAAAACCAGGAGTTGGATGACAGGCTTTGGGCACAGAATACCTGCTGTGACAGTTGTTTGTTTGTTTGTTTTTTTTTTTTTGAGATAGAGTTTCACTACGTCATTCTTGGTAGAATGCTGTGGCGTCACAGCTCACAGCAACCTCAAACTTTTGGGCTTAAGTGATTTCTCTTGCCTTAGCCTCTCAAGTAGCTGGGACTACAGGCACCTGCCACAACACTCAGCTATTTTTTTTGTTGTAGTTATCACTGTTGTTTAGCAGGGCCAGGCTGGGTTCGAACCTGCCAGCCTCGGTGCATGTGGCTGGCACCATAACCACAGTGCTATTGGCACTGAGCCAGCTGTGACAGTTCTCAGACAAGCCCCCTAACAATGACCTGATGCTAACATCTGGCATCTGATAACATCTGGATTTGGCATTTTCAGGATTTTCCAATGAGAAAGAAGCAAGGAAGATTCTGATAGGTATTCATCTTAACTCTGTAAGCTTCAGACTTCCCCTTGTCTGCTGAAAGGGGCACCACCGAAGACTCACTTCCATCTGTACAGGATGTGCTGCTGCTTTCCCACTGCTGCTGCCAAGGGAAGAGCAGCTATGTTGGGTAGAAGGGCCGGCAGGAGGCTCAGGGAGGAGGCTTAGTGTGCTGGGGTTGTGCACTGACCTGTGCCTCCAGTCCAAGGGGCCTGTGCATCCTCAGCGCCTGCACAGCCTGGTCTCGCTCCAAGGTCACAGCCTTCAGCACCATCTCCTGCCCTTGCAGGGCCCGCTCTGCCTCCTGCAGCTTAGCAGCCACCTGGGAGAACACCTGCCTCAGTCTGACTGCAGACCAGGGGTAGTGCCAGCTCAGGGTAGAGAGACCTCCTCCCACCCTGCTTAGGATGCAGACAGTAGACACAGACAAGAAATGCCAGGAGAACCAGGGCCACTCTGCATACCAGGGCATCCACACTGTGGCCCGTGGGGGAACTTCCCCTACCCAGCCCAGCCCAGCTCAGGGCCCCAGCACAGCAACACAGGCAAGGCAGGGATCATCCCACACTACCAAAAACACATTGCTGGTTGAGTGGAGAAACAGCTTGTCCAAAAAGAGTTCTGCAAAGGTGGATAGACAGAGCAGAAGTATATTTTTATCACTGTAATTTTGGTTATTATAAATCTGTTCGGTGAGGGTTAGCATTTTCAGTTTTAAGGAAGGATGTGGTGAGAGCTAGCCCCATCTCCTAGAGGACTGAGAAGGCCTGGTAACGCTGTAGCTGCACACACCTGATCTCTCGCTGCAGTTAGACCCTGAATCAAAGCCTCTGACTTTTGGATCTGGTCCCTTTCGATGTCGTCACAGCGGCGTTGCCAGTCCAGGCCCAGCTGCACCTGCTCACGCTGCAGGCTCTGCTCCCTCTCAATTGCCAGGGACAACTGTTGTTTGTACCTAAGGACACGTCCAAACCACCCAGCATTAACATTTCCTGAGGTCCCTCTGACATCAAAAGTGGGCGTACAGCAGGCTATACAGAGCTGTAGTGTGCCCCTCCTGGGCTCCAGGGCCCACGCTGATCTGAGGGCACCCTGGGCTCCTGTGCACAGGCACATGGGATGCCTACAGGAAAGGCAAGAAGGTGTCAAAGGTCCCCAGACACTGGGGGAAACCCTACAGTGTCAAGAGCACACCCAGCAAAGAAGAACGAACATGTAAGAAGGGTGGGAATGAAGCCAACAAACTTTAAAAAGACGAGAAAATTGTTACACACAGAGAAACCTGAGAGGATTTGCACCATGAAGAGCAAACTAGAGCAGCCAGCCAGAGCCAGAGAGCAAATGGTGAGCTGGAAGAGCCAAGAGCAAGAGAACTTTCCAGAATGATGTGCAAATGGAGAAAGGATGGGAGGCCCACAAGTGCAGTCTGAAGACTGACCTCTGTCTCATGGCAGGTCTGGACAGGTCAGAATGAAGGGAGACTGGTGAGGAGGGAAAGGGGCAAAACCACCAGAAAGGAAAAGACCCGAGTCTCCAGGCTGAGTCCATCGGTGCCAAAGAGCTCTGAAGACCCACACAGATCCTGCACAGGGAGGCCACAGACTGCCAAGGAGAAGGAGAAAAGCTGAAAGGCTTGTGAGAGAGAAAGAGGGAGCAGTGTGCTAGCATCACTGTCCCAGCTCCTAACACCCTGAAGGTGAAGGGTGCAGGATTCAGTGTGGACTTGCTGTATCACTCTAAGGTAGGGGTCCTCAAACTTTTTATTTATTTTTTTTTTGAGATGGAGCCTCAAGTTATCCTCCTGGGTAGAGTGCCATGGCATCACAGCTCACAGCAACCTCCAACTCCTGGGCTCAAGCGAGTCTCCTG